TTCATTTATACTTATAGCATTTATTACAAAACAAGCATCAAAATTGAAGTATGAGCCGCTTAAAGCAAAATTGGTGAAAGTCAATTTTTCATTGTGGGAGATCAACAGAATTTTACATAGATTGTTCAGACAACTAAGTTCACTGACTGATTTTCTCTGTTGTAGAATATTCTTTTTGTAGAAAATGTGGTATATAGTAAAAATCTTAGTAGTCCACATCCACTAAAATTTTATAATCCAGTTCATCTCATTCCGCTAAAATGGCATGCGCCACTTTTGCATTCAATCACTAATATTATAGTCTCATTTAAAAAGAAGTTACATCATGGATAGCTAAGACACACATAGACACATACACACGTATATACATGTATGTCTATAACTCACATATCCGTTCGCATGTGTGAGTAAGCGGAGGAGGCACCACAGATTATCGTGTTTAGGGGCTCACATGCCTTCTTCCGGCCCTGCCCCCCAGGCTCACATGTAGTCAAATGGGCGCACCCTCACTGACTGGTGTTTGAGAGGCCCTGGGTTTTTTGGGTTTGCTGAAGCATACACAGCCTAGCTTTCCTAAAATCCCCACTCCTCCACCCCATCTCACCCCCCATCCGCAGGTCCCTTCAGGTGTGTCTCCACCATCTACTGAATGAAGTCAGCACTCAAGCTAGAGTTAAGGACCTCCCAGCTCTACCCTAATCTACCCTTCAGTCTTATTGCAGACTGCTTCCTGTCTACTTAAGTCAAACAACTTGTCTCCCCCTCAGTAGGTCCTTCAATTCCCTGCCTCTGCTCCCTTGCTCAAGCTGTTCCCTTCCTGGGGTCTTCCTCTCCACCTTACCCTTTCCCTGCTCACAGGCTGCTCTCCCACTCTCCAGGGCCCAGATCAAGTCCATCTGTTTCCTGAAGCTTCCCAGCCCCCACTAAGGTCTAGAGCACTCTCCTTTCTCTGGAGAATATCATTCCTTAATGATATGTACCTTCCGTTTTGTACTTTGCAAAGATGACCCTCGTTTTTAAATATGTTCTAACTAGATCATGCCTTGCTCTGTAACATTTTCTTGTCATTATTAAGAGAGTGTGCCCAGAATCCTCAAACTCTTAAATTACCCCAGAAGCAAGTGTTGGCTTGAGTAGAGAATATTAAGATGCAGATGCTGGGTCAGACAGGAGTACGGGGTTGGGGGTGGCCCTCTGCACCCGCTCAGTGAGCAAACTGTTCATACTTGGGTCTCAACAAAATTATGGCCTTTCCCTGTGGCTCAAAATTTGAATGATCTGAAAATGTGAATGATAAATCTGAGAATGCCAAAGACCTGAACTTTCCTGTGTCCCCTACAACACCCTTTACCTCAAAGGGCCTCTGTAAGAACCAGCTGATGGGGCAGATAACTTACTGATTACACTGGGACCTGCCTGATCCTGTCTAATGGAGACAGAACAAACAGCCACCTCCCAGGCAAGGGGCAGGGAAGCCTTTTGAGTCTTACATACAGTAAGACACTGACGAGAGTGGGCAGAGAGGGGGGAAGAGATGAGAGAATTAAGAGATTTGCCCACCTGTTACCATTTGACCTCTTGCACTCAGATTACCTACCCACCTCTCATAATGAGGAAACCCTGGTGGCAGAGTGGTTAAGGACTCTGCTGCTAACCAAAAGGTCAGCAGTTCAAATCCACCAGCTGCTCCTTGGTAAAGCCTCTGGGGTAGTTCTACCCTGTCCTATAGGGTTGCTATGAGTTGGAATCAACTCAATGGCAATAGGTTTGGTTTTTTTGGTTCTCATGAGGAACAATATACTCTCATATGTGGGTGGGAATACCTCAGTGACCTCTAGCAACAGGGCTTTGCATCATCCTGGCAGGCATGACAGATTCAGTTGAGCCAGAGAGACTCTCTGGTTCAGGTTGTCTGGTAAACCCTGACCATTTGCAAAATGCCAGACTGTGGTCAGGAGCCTAGATTTCAGTATATATTACAGGCATTCATGAGCTTGAACTCTGTGTGAATGAGTTTTTAATTCTCAGATTTTGGCTTTAGTAGATGCCTTTGACTAATACTAATTACTTTCTTACCAACAGTGCACATGCTGTTGTATCTCATTGTTTTATTTTGCATTTCCCTGATGACTAATGAGGTCAAACAATTTATCATATATTTATGGACCATTTGGATATTCTCTTTTGTCAAGCACCTGTTCAAATCTTTTGTTTATATTTGTTTGGTCTTTTTTCTTATTGATTTGTAGTTCTTTTTATGTATTGGATATGAGTCCTTTCTCAGACATATGTGTTGTAAATATCTTCTCCCATTCTGTGATTTGTTTTTTACTCTCTTAGTGATGTCTTTGATGAATAGAAGTTCTTAATTTTGATGTAATCTGACTTATCTGTCTTTTCCTTTATGGTTAGTCCTTTTTGTAACCTGCTTAAGAAATGTTTGCCTATTCCAAGGGCAGTTAAGTTTCTCTTCAAGCTTTATTATTTCACTTTTCACATTCAGCTATACAGTCTACCTGGAATTTATTTTTGTGTATGATATGAAGTAGAAGTCAAGATTTTGTCCTTCCCGCATGCTTTCAGGGGACATCTAGGTCAATGGGCATAACAAAGCTTATTAAGAAAATGTTCTACATCCTACTTTGGTGAGTGGTGTCTAGGGTCTTAAAAGCTTGCAAGCAGCCATCAAAGATGCATCGATTTGTCCTAACCACCTGGAGTAGAGGAGAATGAAGAACACCAAAGACACAAGGAAAGTATTAGCCTGAGAGACAGAAAGGGCCACATAAACCAGAGACTTCATCAGCCTGAGACCAGAACTAGATGGTGGCCGGCTACCATCAATGACCGCCCAGACAGGGAACACAACAGAGTCCCAGATGGAGCAGGAGAAAGATGGGGTGCAGAACTCAAATTCTAGTAAGAAGACCAGACTTAATGGTCTGACTGAGACTGGAAGAACCCCGGAAAGCATGGCCTCTGGATTCCCTATCAGCCCAGAACTAAAACAATTTCCAAGGCCAACTCTTCAGACAGGGATTGGGCTGGACTGTGGGATATAAAGTGATACTCATGAGGAGTGTGCCTCTTAGCTCAAGTAGATACAAGAGACTAAACAGGCAGCTTCTGTCTGGAGGTGAGATGGGAAGACAGGGTTAGGAGCTGGTTGAATGGACATGGGGAATCAGGGGTGGAAAGGAGAAGTGTGCTGTCACAGTATGGGGAGAGCAATTAGAGTCACATGACAATGTATGTATAAATTTTTGTACAGGAAAAAAGAAAAAAGATTTTGTCCCTCCCCACAATGTGGATATCCAATTGACCCAGAACCATTTATTGAAAGCACCATCCTTTTCCTATCACACTGCAATTTTGTCATAAATTAAAGATCCATATATGTGTGGTCCGTTTCTGGACTTTCTTTTCCGTTCTATTGGTCTCTTTGTGAGTCCCCATGCCAATACCATGTGATGGTTAATGTTATGTGTCAGCTTGGCTAGGTCATGATTCTCAGTATTATGTAATTATTCTCCATTTTGTGATCTGATGTAAAGGGAGTTTCCTTGGGGGTTTGGTCTGCATCCAATATATATGGATGTTCTGGCAAAGCTCTCTCTGGATTCTGTATCTGACTCATCATCATCTGACCTCCAGTTCTTGGGACATGAGCCAGCAGCCTGTCACCTGAGCTGCAGATTTTGGGCTCATCATCTCCTGCAATCACACAAGTCAGGAGAAGCCTCCAGCCTGATGCCTGACCTGTGGATTTGCCAGCCTCCAGAACTGCATGAGCCATTTCCTTGAAATAAATCTTTTTCTACATATATATGTGCTTCATTGGTTTTGCTCCTCTAGAGAACCCAGCCTAAGACAACCACACTGTCTTGATTCCTGTAACTTTAAAGTAGGCCTTGATCTCTGATAGTATAAACTTTCTAACTATGTTGCTTCTTCAACATTGTCTTGGCTTTTCTAGGCCCTTAATATTTCATTTAAATTTTAGAATTAGCTTGCCAATTTATACCAAAAAAAAAAAAAAAAGTGTTGGAATTTTGATTCCTGGGATCTATAAATCAATTTGGGAAGAATTGATCTTTACAATGTTGAATCTTACGATCCATGAACATACTATGTTCCTCCATTTAATCTAATGTTTTATTGTTTTCTGTGTAGAGGTCCTATATATCTTGTATTACATTTATTCATAGGTAGCTGATGATAATGTAAATGGTATCTTTTTAAAATTTCAATCTCTAATAAAATTTTAAAATGCTACCATTTATATGGTTTGTTGTTTGTATATAGAGATTGTCATGGTTTGAATTATGTCCCCCAAAAAATGTGTGTATCAATTTGGCTAGGCCATGATTGCTGGTACTGTGTGATTTTCCTGTATGTTGTAAACCTGCCTCTATGATGTTAATGAGGGAGGATGGGTGGCAGTTGTGTTAGTAAGGCAGGACCTGATCTACAAGACTGGATTGTGTCCTGAGGCAATCTCTTGAGATATAAAAGACAGAAGTGAGCAGAGAGACAGGGGGACCTCATACCATCAAGAAAGCAGTTCCGGGAGCAGAGCGCATCCTTTGGACCAGGGTCCCTGCGCAGAGACGCTCCTAGTCCGGAGGAACGCTGATGAGAAGGCCGAGAGAGAGAAAGCCTTCCCCTGGAGCTGACGCCCTGAATTTGGACTTTTAGCCTACTTTGACTGTGAGGAAATAAACTTCTCTTCATTAAAACCATCCACTTGTGGTATTTCTGTTATAGCAGCACTAGATGACTAAGACAGAGATATAACTGATTTTTTTATATTGACTCTTTATCCAATGACCTTTCTAAATTAACTTACTAATTCTAATAGCTTTATCCATAGATTCTTTTGGATTTCCTACATGTAATTATGTCATATACAAATGATGGTAATTTTTATTTCTTCCTTTCCAATCCTTATACTTTTATTTTTATAAAAGGTCATTTGAGGCCTGAGCCAGGCCCTCAGGACTGCACTCTCTCCCTACCATCAGGGGGCCTGCCCTAGCCCTGCTCAGCCATCTCTACACTCTGACAGAATGAATGCCCTGGATGGTGTCCCCTTCAAGGTGTCCAAGGGCTTTGTGATAGACACAGAGGCCCTCTCTGGGCCAGAGCTCAGTGTCCCGGCTTACAGGGAGCTTCTACTGGGTTCCATGGTGAGTATGCCTTTCTGTCTGTCTGTCTCTCTCCTAGCTCCTGGGTCTGTGGGTCTGTGGGTGAGGCTAAGCCCTATGGGGCCTTGTTCCTTGACTTTAAAGAGCAGCCAGGCCTGCTCTGGTAAATTCTTGGGAGTTTGAAAATGACCCAGTAGAGGAAAAAGTGTTTCATGAAGAAGGCTGGTAGCTTGGCGATGGGAGTTGTTAATAGAGCTTGTTTTAAGTTTTGGATAATTGGGAGGCTGCCTGTGGGAAGTGGCTGAGAGTCCTTGCAAGGATGTGCCGATTCTTCTCTTCACTGTCAGCCTGTCACCATGTCTAAAATTCCATCATTAGAATCACTCCTTTGGGCCAAGACACTATTTCCAGAATCCTTTGTTAGAATTCAGACTGTTCCTTGAGACAGGTTAGAAGGGATTACTATTCATAGACCTATAGCACGTCTGCCCTGGAGGTGCCCTTGGAGCACTCCAGGCCCCATGGCCGTCATATTGGGATATGCACCCCCCTCCATGTGGTGGCATCACCCATGACCTCAGGATAAACATGGCTTAACTTCCTGGAGAGTCAAGTTTACCTGAAGAATTAGAGAGAAAATCCATTGCATTTATATTATAACACAAGTTGATTATAGGGTAGAAAGCAAAATTCACATGAATTTAGAAAAAGGAACAAATTTGCTTGTGGAGCTGGCATTGGGCCACTTGGGGCTGGGTCCCCTGACTGTTGTGTGTTCATTCTCTACTGCCTACAGGGTACTTAGTAGAAAAGTTTGGGATCTGGTTCAACTCTAACTCATTTTACAGATGAGGAAACTAAGGCTCCGGGAAGGGAAATGATTTGCCCAAAGTTAGTGGCAAGAGTAAAACCAAGGTTCCCTAATTCCAGGTCATCTCAGATTAGTTGAGAACAGGACTCAGAATGTGAGAGACACAGGACAGGTAAGGTATGAAGGAAAAAAAGATTAGAGGGAAGCCAGGAGGAGAGCGCACAGTCCAGGAACAAGAGACCTGGGGAGGGAAGGTTGAGCGGCCCGGCCTGGGGACGTAGGGGAATTCTCAAAGCTTGAAAAAGTTTTGTAACGTCCAGAGCAGAGTGTCCAGGCCTCCCTCCCTCCTTCGGTGGGGCAGGAGCTCTTGCTTTCCCAGGCAGCTTGTGCTGTGACCTCTCACTCAGGCTGGAAAGCCTATGTTGGGAAGAGGAGCTTGCTTTATTAAACATGCAGTCAAAACCTAAAACCACACCCCTTGCCTTTGAGTCGACTCTGAATCATAGCGACTCTATAGGACAGAGTAGAACTGCCCCAAGGGTTTCCAAGGAGTGGCTGGTGGATTCGAACTACTGATCTCTTAGTTTGCAGCCAGGCTCTCAACCAGTGCACCATCAGGGCTCCAAACATGTAGGACAGGCGGATTATCACAGTTTTTCCCTCCCTGCTGAGCTCAAGCCCAGCTGGGAAGAGGCTATTCTGAAAGTTCCCTCTAGAAGTAGAAATGAGGACCCTTCTCAGACCCCCCAGCAGTTCGACAGGGCCCATCCCAAGCTGGGGTGACACTGCCAGATTTCTCAGGGAGCGGTGTTCCGGTCATAGTCTCTAGAAACACAGGGAGGGAAGGACAGAGGGACAAGTAGACTGCATGGAGGCCAAGGCCCCTCCACACCTCCCTACCCATACAGCTCAGCTCAGCCCCCTCCAGAAAGAAGCTTCCTGTAAGGAGACGTGGACCCACTAAAGGCAGAGCTACGAGGGAGCTGAAATCACCTGACCCTGCCACATGGAGAAACTGAGGCCCAGAGAGGTCAAAGGATTCATAAGAGCCGTGCATCGAGCCGGGGCCAGAGCTGGTCACAGCCGAGTCTCTGAGCCTGAATCTCACTGACAGCCTCCGTGGTGCAGCTGGAGAGAGTTCACACAGTTCTCCAGATTCCACCCACTGCTGCCCGAAAGTCACCCTAAGAGCTCCACTACCAGCCAAGCCAGGGGTTTTGGCCGGCTGGCCTCGTCACAAGGCTCCCCACCCCCGCCCACGCCCAGTCCTGGCAGCCAGTTAGGCCTCCTCCTTCTCCTAGTCTACTTCTCTGCTGGGAATTTATGTGAGTATATTGCCAAATTGCCCTCCATGGGGGTTGTACAGATTTATATCCCAGCCAACAATACACAAGAGTGCTTGTTCCTCACAGACACCCCAACAGAGTGTCATCAGACTTCAAGTCTTCCTGGAGGGATGCGTGGAAATGGTATCTCAATGCAGATTTACTTGCATTTCTCTTATGATGAGCATCTTTTCCTATACTGAGCCATTTATATGTCCTTTTCTATAGACTGTCCCTGTATTTCGCCCATTTTTCTGTTGGGCTGTTGGTTGTTTTTCTTATCTATTTCTAGGCAGTGGTTAAGAGCTTGGCTGCTAATCAAAATGTCAGTGGTTCAAATCCACCAGCTGCTCCTTGGAAACCCTATGGGGCAGTTCTGCTCTGCCCTATAGGGGCTCTACGAGTCAGAATAGACTCAATGGCAACCGGTTTGGGTTTTTTTTTGGTTCTGTGTTATTGAAGTTAGCCATTTGTCTGTGATGTGAGTGCCATTTTTTTCCCACTTTGTGGTTTGTCTTTTGACCTTGCTCATGGGATGTACTTGCCATGCAGGTTGTGTGTGTATTTAAATTATCTTTTTCTTTTATGGCTTCTGGATTTTGATTCAAAGTGAGAATCCCTCTTTTCCCATGTTGAGGTTATAAGGATTTCTCTTACGTTTTCTCCTAGTACTTTTATGGTTTCATACCACACATTTGACTCTTGATCCTTTTGGAATTCATGCTTGTGTGTAGCGTGAGAACGGATCCAACTTAATTTTTTTCCGGTTGGCTACCCAGATGACCACGGAGCCCTGGTGGCACCGTGGTTAAGGCCCTGGGCTGCTAGTTCCTGTTCTCGCTGCTTTCTTATTTTCCCTCCTCTGTCCTTCACTGAGGACCCTGGTGGCACAGTGGTTAAAGGGCTCGGTTGCTAACCGAAACGTCAGTGGGTTGAACCCACCAGCTGTTCTGCAGAAGAAAAACGCAGCAGTCTGCTTCCGTAAAGATTACAGCCTTGGAAACCCTATAAGGCAGCTCTACTCTGTCCTATAGGGTCACTATGAGTCGGAATCAACTAGACGGCAGTGAGTTTGGGTTTGGCTGGTCCTTCACCACCTGCCTATTCTGCTCTAGTCTTTCTTTAATCATTTATTCTGCACACACGACCTGACGTCGGCTTCTCTCGGCAGCACGACTTCAGCCTGGAGAGGAAGGCACTCTTCTGGGTGGAAGCCGCGGTCCGGGGGCCCTGCCCGTTCCAATGCGGTGGCCTGGGGACAGCGTCAGCCCCACCGGCCTGGCTCTTGCTGGTCAGCTCCGAAGGCAGGCCACTGCCCGCGCCCGCCGCAGCCCAAGGCCCAGAGGTCGGACCCCAGGAACAGTCGGAGGAGGAGGAGGATGAGGAAGAAGCTTCCTCCACCAGCAAGGACAGCAAGGAGGAGCTGGGCCCCTGCAGCCCCCAGCCCGGCTCCCCGGCGAGCCCCGGGCCGGGCCAGCGCCTATGCTCGCTGGGCGTGCTGCGCGGTGTGAGGTCGGAGCTGGCAGGGGCGCGGCGGCGG